ATTTACTCTGATCGCACTCTCTTCTAAGATCTCCCTCTTATTGGTCTATTTTTTGCTTTGGCATTTGTGTACTAATACTCTACCAGGACAATGAAACCAATTGTCACGGACTCATTGTCTATTCGCTATTTTGGAGCGTCCTTCAGAGAAGAAAACATATATTCAAATAATTGCGCACATTTGCTTCCGCTAAAGATAAATATGAAGATGAGTCGATATGTAAAAAGTGTCCCTTAGAAAGCTTTTACTACGCTACTTTTGCAACGTCAACCTAAATATGTTAAAGTTAATACACTATGTCATATTTTCCCATAAAAATGGTGTAATATTGCTGGGAATGTCAAACAATTATTAGAACTAAATCATTATTTGTTTTTCTTTTAAACAAAACTGAATTCCAAATTTTTGACAATTTCTGAATATTATTTTCATGAGAGTCAAAATACATCTAGGTCATGGCATTAAAATCATCACTTTCGTCTTCCACAACCGCTCCAATTTCGGCTTTGGGGCGCAGGCCCGTGAAACAATGCTTCCAACGTTCCTGATTTGATGCAAGAGTCTGAGCTTCGGCAGAGGACAGCTGGAGTCCAGGGCAGACTCCTTCTATATATTTGCATCATGTAAATCTTAGACTTCCCGAGTGCATTCTGCCGATCCGCCTGGCAAAAAATAGTTGCTTCGCCTACCTTTCTGGAGGCATTCGCAAACCGTCGTAGCTGTGACTTCTCAGTCTGGAGAAGAAAAGACTGTACACCAAGGCTCTGCTCTCTTAGACCATGTCGAGATGCATCTGTCCAGGGACTCGTCTAAGAAAACACATTTCAGCCGCTTCTACACCGGATTTAAGTTTTTCAGTCATACACTCACACACTACGACTGGCGGCTGTCAGTAAGCATAGGGATAAAGATCCACTTAAGCATCGACAGCTCAGTCTTCAGGCTCAGTACTCTTATAGTCAAATGGATCGCGCTAGTTCACGCGCAGAACGCAGAACGCCACTGGCTACGCCTAATCCGTAGTCGAACGTTTCTTTCAAGTTTCCATAATCGGTAAACATGAACCCTGGTTTCTGAACTTCTCCACCTGCTCAGCGTCTCTCCGTTAATCTGAAGAGAGCAGCGGGCAGGAGAAGGAGAAAGCACTAGGCTTTTCATTTTAGAGGCGTTCACACGCATGTCGGTCACGTCGCACTCAACCGCGAACCT